CCCCAAAACCCCAAAACCCCAAAACCCCAAAACCCCATTTAGCTGTAGAGCTATTGAAAAGATAAAATTTAAGCATACAGAAGCTTTAGTCAGAGTTAGGGTAAATTATTTACGCACCAATTTCTTCTTTGATTCTAAGTAAGGATTGCTTGTAGTGATTATACCCTTTCTTGAATTTCTCTGTGGGATTAGTTAAGGAACACTTACTATCTTTTTGGTCAGATTTGAAGTGGATGATATTCAGGAGAGAGTCAAGAGTCCGATTCTCAAGCTTCTTTTTGGAGTCTCTCTTGGTGATTTCTTTAGAGAAGCTAAACCTAGGCTTCTTTGTAACACAAGGCTCAAAGTAGATATGGTCAATATTGGGCTGGATCACGTGGAACTCAGTTTTTTCTAAAAATTCTTCATCGGCCATTGGGGTAGGAGTTACACCTCCGTTCTGGTGATTGCGCTCTATCATTTGCATATCTTTTGATATAGATTTATATCTTTCTGTTTTCATACTTTTAGGAACGATGAAACTTCTAGAAGCTTAAAACAGATGCCTAACCTGTTGTTTCTTAGATGGTTGAGGGCTAACTCATACGGAATTTCTCTGGTGTAGCAGGGCAACGTTGCTGACATTATATCCGCTAGAAATTAGGCTGAAATTGTACCTTCATTCATGATAGTATCTAAGTTCTTCTTCCTATTGATCAAGCTTTTATCAAGTGGGGATAAGTTTTTGATAAATCCATATCGTCTTGAGGAAAGTGAGCCCTTTATAGGTAAAGCTTTACGAATATTCCGGCTAGATTTCAGTCTTTTGATGTTTTGTTCTCTTTTAAGACGGGTGAATCTCTTGCTAATCTGTCCTTGATTGTACTTTTCACGGTCAAAAGGCTGAGGATCAGGAATGACAACCTTCTCGCTCTTAGAAGGAAGACCATTTAAATAGATATGTTCATGAACTTGGTTATCTCCAAGAAGATTCATGTCTATTTTTGTAGCCTTCTTTTTACTCTAAATTTTAGCAAACTGAAGCTTACAGGGTTGCAACTGTATCGTTCATCAATAGTTACAGTGACTGGGATTATTTTCAGAGTTCTGACCTTTTCGTTATTTCTCCTCAATATCAAAATATCTATATCAGCCAAGGTTTGCTTATGATGGCAAATTTAATGTTAGATATATTAGACATCGATTGTTTTAGAAATCTCTGTTAATATGAAACTAAACCTGTTTTTTTATTAGCTAAGAACGATGGAATAAGTATAAATATCCTCTCTGTTAAATTTCGGCTAGTCTAATTAGCCTCATTATCACCTAAACTATTCTCACTAACCTCTCAAGCTCATCGAACTTTGGGTTATATAGCATCTCGATCGGATACTCAGATAGCTTTGGTTTCAAACTTTTCTTTTGTGTTGCTGCATTCTTAACCCACTGGTTAAGATCAAGAGGGCAGTTTGCAAACTTCATGATTTTCTTCTCTATAGAATTAGCAGGGGTGCTTACCCTCTCCAGATTTTGGAGCGTAGTCTTCCTCAATGCGTGCTTCCATCTGAGAGATCTTTTTAGTGAGGTACTTTATTTCCCTTTCATCGTAGCTCTCTTTGTCTGGAATCATGAAACTTTTCTCTTTTCTGAGCTTAGTTGTTCTTCTGGGTCTATCGGTTAGGCAGCAAGCTTACAGAGCCTGGAGAAAGTGTTGTGACCTGTCTTTATCAGAGTACTTCTTTGCTTTGGATGTCTTCGGTGAGTCTCCAGAGATGATGAAGGACTTTTTGAGAGTAAACGAATGATCAGTTGAGAGTTTCCTAGAGTTATAAGCACTTCTTACTTTTTAACCTTCTTCTTAGCTCTTTGGCGATTAGAATCGTTTCGCTGTGGGGTCAGTAAGATTTGTTACCATTTCCTCTCTGATAAGGTTCTCTACTCTCAGAGTAATCTCTCTTTTAGAATTCGGGCAAGTGAGTCGAGGTTTTGATTTTGGCTCGCTACTGGCTTTCTTTTCAACTATACCATATTGAGAAAGGCTTACCTTTCTTCAAAGTGGTGTTAATTTTAGAGGACTTATAGCTCTTAAGTCTGAGTTTAGAACATTTTGATCTATAGATCATTGTCTCTCGCATACCTTTTACAATGTGAAGGTGGGATTACTTTATATTTCTCTTCAAAAGCATAATCAATCGTTCTATTCATCTTTTGATGAGAAATTTCACCTAAAGCTTGTATAAAGAAAGTACCTTGATCCTTGTTATTGATATTCTCACCACCTAGGATGATATTTAATGAAGTATCTGAGCTTATAGGCCTGGGCTTATACGCACTAGTGGCAGAAGTGGTTCCTACAAAGTCTAAAGAATTAGCTAGGGATTCATACCTGATTTGGTGTCGTTGCTATTAGCAATAATATTTCTCAGATTGAGCCTTCAAGTATCGTTAGAAATATTGTTCTTCTTCCAAAAATAACTTGAAATATTCCTGCTAGTCTTCTTCCTAACTTTCTTCCTGGAAGCTAGCTTTTTCCTGTATAAAGTTGAAGCACTGATAGAGGCTCTGTTTTGAGTGTGCTTTTGGCCATCAGAGGGTTTTAAATTAAAACTCTCTTTTGACTCAAACTTGATCGGGTTTTCAATAAAGAAGTTATTTTCTTGAATTTCTAGAGGGTTTAGAGCCTTAGTAGTGAGCAAGATCTTACCTGGATTGTCTTGTTCTATATTAGAGAATGAGCTAATTTCTATCACAGTGTTTTTAGGAGAATTTAGAGCAATACTGTAGGGCACTCTGCCTCAGTTGTTTTAGGACTCACTAAGTCATTCTCCATCTTAGAATTATCTGATGAAAAATTGGTAAGATGGTACCTATAAATTTTAACAGCTGGATTACCTATCAGCACAGGAGCCTATTAATTTGAGATCCTGCCTAGTCACCCCTTCGATAGAATCAGCGATGGCTTTGTCTTGAACCAGCGAGATTTGTGTTTGAATTCTGTTAATTATGGAATCTGCCCGAGAGGAGCCAATAAATTTCTTGACTTTATGCCGTGGCTTTATGGGCTTGGGCTTATTTCCTTGCTAAAATTTCAAATTAGCTTAGTTTTAAAGACTAGAAGTTTAAAAATTATGTTTCAAAGTTTAGACAAAAGTTATACACAATTTGGTGGAGTAATGAGGCATTATATTATTTTATTAGAAAATTTGATTAATAACTAATTTCTCAATAAGTTAGGAAAGTAAGCTTGGAAATAAGAGATATCGTACTTTTTGGGCTAAGCTAAGGAGGTGGCTTCTATGTCAATGGCTCTGAACTTCTCTGAAAAATTCTGGAACATATTAGCATGTTTGTTCTTCCTCCTTCAAGCTCTTAAGGTATGTAAGTTTCTTCTTTCCTTGGTGATTAGCATTTATTTTCAAGAATTCTATTAATTTTCGAATTTTAGGGGTTTTGGGGTTTTGGGGTTTTGGGGTTTTGGGG